GATCTCATTCTTTTTAATGGCTGAATGATATTCCATTACACATCATATACACACCATACCTTCTTTATTTATTCATATATTGATGGACAAACAAAAAGCAGAATCAGATACTAAGAGCAAACTGATTGATGGTTGCCAGAGGTTTGGGGGAATGGAAAAAATAGGTGAAGGGAAATAGGAGATACAAGCTCCCAGTTATGGAGTGAAGTCATGAGGATAAATGGTACAGCAAAGGAAATATAGTCAATGGTATATTGTATGGTAAAAATGGCAGCTATACCTGTGGTGAGCGTAGCATACTCTCAGGTGTTCAACACTGTTGTACACCTGAAGCTAATGCAACATTGTGTGTCGTCTACAGTCAGATTAAAAAAAAAACTTTTAAAGATACAGAGTGTTACCATTTTCTATTTCCTTTTGTCTTGGTTTTAGTAATAAGCATATTTCAAGATATTTGTCCATCTGAAATTGTTAAATTTATCAGTATAAAGTTATTCACAGTGTTTCCTTATTATCATTTTTTAAATATACCTATAAAATCTCAGTGATGACCTTTCATTTCATAAATCAATAATTTCTCTATATGTCTCTGTTTCCCTCTGATCAGTTTGATCACTTTGCTGGCAAAGACATAAAAAATGAACAAAATATTTGAGCAGAAGCTTCAAAAATGGTATACAAATGGTAAATAAGAACTTGGAAACATGCTCATACCATGAATCACCATGGAAATGCAATTTAAATAAAATAAGATAGCTCTGCACACCTGTTGGGATGACTACAGTAAACAAACAAACATGACAATAGTTTGTCATGAGAATCCATGAGAATGTGGATCAATCTGAATTTCTACATTGTTGGTAGGAATGCACAATGGCACAGCAATCTTGGAAAACACCTTGGCAATTTCATAGAATTATTCATATATTTACCATAAACTGAGCAATCCTATACCTAGGTGTTTGTACAGGAGAAGAAAACTTTAGTTCACACAAAAACCTGTATATAAGTATTTATAGTACTTTTATTCATAGTTGCCAAAATTTAGAAACAACCCAAATATGAGGAATGAATAAAGTGTGGTACATTCATACATAGAATATTACCTAACAATGAAACAGGAATAAGTTACTAGGAAAAAAAGGAATAAATTACTGAAACACAACATGAATGACTCTCAAATGTATTACCTAAGTGAAAGAAATCAGGCATAAAAAGCTACATCATGTAGGATTATTTTAAGATGACATTCTGGAAAAGGAAAAATTTCAGGAACAGAAAACAGATTAGTATTTACCAGAGCATGGGTTTGGGGGAATTGGGTGATTCATAAGGAACACAAAGAAATTTTAAGGGATAATGGAACTGCTTTATATTTTGATTGTTTAGTTGTTATATGATTTATGCACTTATCAAAACTCATAGAGCTGCACACCAAAACAAATATACTTAATTGCATGTAAGTCACACGGAAAATTTTTAAAAAGTTATCATACTGTAAGAAATCCCCTGCAATTTGCTCTTTTCATTCAGTATAATATTTCTAATACTCATACATGTGGCTTGTGTAGTTTTAGCTTATAAATTTCTTCACTGCTTAGTATTTTTTTAAAAGATCTTATTTATTTATTCATGAGAGACACACACACAGAGAGAGAGAGAGGCAGAGACACAGGCCGAGGAAGAAGCAGGCTCCATATGGGGAGCCCAATGTGGGACTCAATCCCAGGATTCCAGGATCGCCCCCTTGGCCGAAGGCAGGCATTAAATCATCCATCCACCCAGGGATCCCCATCTGCTATTTAATATTGTATAGTACAAATAATTCAGATGTATTTATCTATTCTCCTGCAAAAATACTTTGGAGTTCTTTTCCAGTTTTTCTTTTTCCATTATTCACAATGCTGTTCTGGTAAGTCTGGAACAAACCTTATTGCACACATGTGCTTGCATTTTCTGAGGTATATAACTAGAAACAGAATTGCAAAAAGTTAGGGTTATGTGCCTGTTCAACTTTGCAAAATAATACATTTTAGTCTCAAGTGGTAGTCCCAATGCACTCATACCTGAAATGTTTACTAAGTAATTTTCAGAGCTTCACATTTTCACCAGTACTTGATATATTCAGACTTCTTAATTTTTGCATCCTTGCCAGTGTAAAAATACATTCTTTTTTTGGTCTTAATTGGCATCTTCCTGGTTACTAGTGAGGTCGAGCACTTTTCATGTTTTGTTTGCTTTCTTTCTTGCTATTCCTATTTCCTCTTTTTCTTCTTTGCTCATTTCCCTGCTGGATTATCTGTTTTTTCCTTTTTGATTCATAGGGGATCTTAAAATAATCTTAATTTAATCCTGTGTTAGTTTTTATGTGATACAAATAGGTGTATCATTTTTTGATTTATATTTTCACTTTCTTTGTGGTGTCCTGTTGATAATCATAAGTTATTATTTTAATGCAGTGAATTTATCAATATCTTATTTTTAGTACTTTATCTTGTTTAAAAATGTGTCCTTAGCTGGAGGTCAAAGAGTAATTTATATTTGCCTCCTAATGTTTTTAAAGCTTTGTTTTTTACATTTAAGTGTTCACCGAATATGGAATTAGTTTTTGCAAATGGTCTGAGGTAAGGGTCCAATTTAATTTGTTACATATGCATAACCAATTGTCTCAAAATTATTTATGATAATACATTTTCTCCATAATGTTCTGAAAATTCACTTGTGTCATATTTCAAATTCACATATATGCATAAGTCTGGTTCTCTTTTTTGTTCCACTGGTTCTATTCTTATGCCAATACTATACCTTGTAATTATTATTCTCATAATATATCTTGATATCCAATTAGGTATATTCTCCATTTTTCAAGATCATCTTCTTTCTTTAATAAAGAAGATGTGAGATCTAACAGCTTGGTTAGATTCAGATAAATTTTTGGCAAGAATATTTACTGGATGATTTTTTGCTTTCTATCACATATATTCTGTTATGTACTGCCACTACCAATGATACTATCTGCTTGTTTATCAGGCTGACAGCCAGATCTCTCCTCTCTAAAGTAACATTTTTTTTTTCCTTTTGGAATTGTCAGGTAATATGTGGGGTGAAACTCTGCACATTTCAAATTATTTTGTAATAAATCATTGAGCTGTAGGTGAATCCATTATTTGTTAGGGCTTACAAAATAGTAACTGTCTTTAATTATTGTTCTCTGTTACTAGCAGGCATTTTAAATAGAGAAGAGATTTCACCTATCAAGAGGAGGTAAATTATAATTCTTTTCCCTGGATTAGGAAAGACCTGGATCAAATGCTTATTTCTTCCCCTTAGTTACTGATTTTCAGAGTAAGGTTATAAGGTAGCTGTTGCCTTCAATGAAAGTGAGGGTTTTTCTATCCATTGTTTCATAACATCATAGACCTCTGGATTTTATTAATGTGTTAAATCAACCACAGTAATAATTCCCTTTTTAAAAAAATATATTTATTCATTTGAGAGAGAGTAGGTGTGTGGGGGGAGGGGCAGAGGGTGAGAGAATCTCAAGCAGACTCCTTGCTCAGCAAGGAGCCCAACACAGGGCTTGATCTCATGACTCTGAGATCATGACCTGATCTGAAATCAAGAGTTGGATGCTTAACTGACTGAGCCACCCAACTGCCCCAGTAATTATTCCTTTTGATGTAAATTATCTCAAAATTGACCAGTGTCTTTTGGACACAGTCTCATAGTCTTTGAATATTTCTTTACTTTCAAGCATAAAATGCCCAGGCTCATCTTGTACTTTTCCTGTTATAGACTGGCAAGTCTTCCAGCTCAGTCCCAGTTTCAGTTTATCTTCTCATTGCTCTAATTTTCAGCTCTATCTTCCTTTCTGTCCTTGGGGCATTTCCTCTAGATTTTTGTTGTTTTTTCAAGCTCGGGTATGCATTTCTTTTTCAGCTCTAAGTATTTATTTAGTGCCAATTATTGGTCAGATGCTGTTCCAAGGGTACAGTGGTTAACACAGCAAAATAATCTTTGATCTCAAGAAGCTTACTTTGCAAGAACGCTTGTTATATTATCTATGCATTGTAATGGATATTGTGATCTGGCAGTTTTAGATATTGTGAGGGTTTTAAGGTAATCTAGCCATGAATGATAGCTTGTAAAATTTCATATCATTGTTCAGAATGAATATTTAGGAAATACAGAAAATAGGAAGTCCTGTTGGGAAAGAATATATTCCAGGTATGAAGTGGCTAGATGAACAGAAGTAAGAATGGAGAAGAAAAGCTGGATTACAAGAGTATCGTGAAGGAAGAAATGATAGGATTTTGTAACAGTTTAATAAGAGGGCATGACACAGAGGAAAGTAAGAGGCTTTCTTATTAGTGTAAGAGTTGGCATTTCAGGAGTTCCTTTGTTTGTATGTGCGTGGGGGATGGAGGGGTGGGGATGGGGGAGTCCACTCCAGATGCAGAATAGCAAACTGGAATCAATTCAGTGCACTGAATCAAAAGTGATTAACGGTACTCATTTTGAACGAGGATCAAACTATCTCCACAAATGAAGAGCTGCTCAGTGCAATCAGAGCACTTCCCTTTCCACAATGTCTCCAAACACAAACCTCAACTTTACAGGTTACAGCCCAGGGCTGAACTGTTCTACAGCATTCACTAATTAAAAGGCTAATGGATTCCCTTTTACTTTCCTCTTTTTTTTTTTTTTTTTTTGAAGTAAGACCTGAAATTTCAACCCAGTTGACCTAGATGACTCTTGCAATTTCCATCCTCAAGGGGGCGGTGACCAGAAGAGTCATTCCGCGACGGCCCACGCCGAAATCTGCCGCAGAGTCCTTCACGCTCTGCTCCAGGGTGCGTCAGATTAATCCCAGGGACCAGCATCTCACACTGAGCCTGCGCACAAGGCGCGGCGGAGCGGGCGCATGCGCCTTTGGGGCGGGATTGGGGGAGGCGGGGCTGGGCGGGGCTGGGTCCCTCCAGTGTTTTGGGGCCTGGGAGCTGTGGGAGGAGCCGGCGGTCTCACCGTGGTAACCGCAGCGCCGCCGCCGCCGCCCGGCCTTGCAGGCCTCGGGACTGTCATCGCCTTTGGGTGTGGGGATACTTTGGCCACCGTCCCCGGAAATTGCTCCGCCGGCTTTCTCAGATATCCCCATCCTCCCCACGCTGCCGTCGCCGCCGCCATGCAAGGGGAGGACGCCAGATACCTCAAAAGGTGACCACTCCCCAAGACTCGGTCCTGCTGCCCCGCCGGGCCCTGAAGATATTCCTGGAGGGCCTTGGGTTGGCTTTGAGGTGTCACTGGGCCAAGCTAGAACCTTAGAGTAGGGGTGGAAGACCGGGGGAGAAGTCACGGAAGGGAAAGGGGAAAGGTGCACTGGGGAAAAGATGAAAGGGCCCTTCGGGGGAGGGGGGGGCGAGGCTCCCCCTCTTACCTGGCAGGACCCTGACGGCATCGAAGACGGTATCCTCGCTGCATGCATCACATTGTGCACGGGAGGAGGGCGAAGGGCCCAGTAAACCGCGTCTTCCTCCCCCCCTCCAACTCTCCCTTTCTCCCTAGTGGAATAAATCCCTTAGGAGCCTGGGAATGAAGTCTCTTGGTGCCTCTGCTGTCTGTCTCCTGTTTGGGGTTCCCCGCCATGGGGTTTTGACACGATGAACGAAGAGAGAAATGGTGGCGCTTTATTTATGGGAGAGGCTGGGCTGAGCGGGCTCCTTCCTTCCAGCCTGTTTCTGCTGTCCTCATCCATTTCATCCCCTGGACTACCATGTGTACAGTGTAATATTCGTAGGAGGTTCATGATTATGAAGAGGTTTGTTCAGGAGCTTGTCGTGGGATGGGCCATAATGTATTTAGTTTAAAAATACTTGCAGTATCCCTTCCTCTTTAAAGAAATTGTGTCTGTTGGGATTATTTATTTGACTTCCTGTCAAAGATAAGATCATCCCTGATGATCCCTGATGGAAAGGATGCCTGTCACTGGACCAAGAGTTAGCAGTGATCCAATAGAAAGCAATCCTAATTAGGACTCTCCATTTTTAGTTAAGTCACTGTTAGGGATAAGGGGAGTACACAAGGAAAGTCACATGTATTCTTTTTTTTTTTTTTTTTTGGACACAGTTTCCTTATTTAAATATGGGGCAAATACCGCCTTATGGGAGATCTGTGGACCAAATATGAAAATGCCTTTAAAAGATAAAACATGCACATAATGTGGTGACATTATTTCAAGTCATAATATGCTTTTGCTGAATGTGTTCATCCCGGCTTGATATGGCCTTGATCGTTACAGAAAGATCTTCCAGCCTTTAATCGAGTCTTAAAAAGGTTTTAAATAAATATACGATCTGTCAGTCAACCAACTGCCTTGTCTTTGAGGACTGAGACATATATGGCTTGCCTTCCTCATTGTAGGTGAATATATCTGAAACTATAGAATAACCAGAGTTTATCAGTAAAATTTTTATAGCATTGTGTGGTCGTGACTAGTGTATGGTATTTGTTTCCTCACTCAAATTTGCTTACATTGGTCTTTTAAAATATCTTGATTGAAAATTGTATGGCAGAAGAAAATAATAAATTATTTCTCTTCCAACTTTGGATTCAAGATTATTCTAGACAAAGAGCCACTATTATACATACCATCAGCTTATTTTCATGTAATATAAGTGTGCCAAAAGAGAGTTTTATTAGGATTCTTGAACCTGTACGGGCCTTTAGACATATTTCTCAACCTAGTGCTTATTTTTAAAGGCAAGTTATCTAGAGTTAAAAAAAAATAAAACCAAACAAGTCACTACTGTAATGTTTGAAGTAAAATAAGGCCAGAATTTGGAAGGTTGAAATACACTCTCCAGTTTTGTCTAATTTTGACAATATAAGTAATGAACAGGTTGCATTGCTTGCTTTCAGATTAGAAATATGCAGCTGATGTATAATACAGGCCTGATGGTTTCTGATGTCTGGCAGAAACTTCCATTTTAATTATTGGTTCTTTGATAATGATTACATATATTCTATTCCTTTTGTAATATTTTTACCTTTATATTTTGTTTTTAACAGGACAGCAACATGTTTTCAATCTAATTGATTCACTTTAATTTTAATTAGTTGATTTCAGTGGTTTCATTGCAGTTATTACTGAGGAATCTCTAGTCTCTTTATGTTGAAATGTGTAGAAGATTATAGAATCAAATCCAGTTTCATTTTTTGTTCTGCTAAAAGTTAGTTTTGATTCAGGGGCGTTTAATGAATACTTGCAAAATACCTATTATATGTCTACCATTGTTCTGCTCATTGAGGAAATGGTTAAGTAGACATGGTCATGTCCTCAATCAGATATACACAAAAATACATAATTATTTGTGATGGGTTTTTTAGCCTCCTCTTAAAACTGTTCGACGGCTTTTTATTGCTTTTAGAGTTAGAAGCAACTCTCAGCTTTCTCTCTCTCTCAGCTTCCTTCTTACCCCCAATAATTTCCTACTTGACTCTTACAGAAATAACTTATTTTAGATCTCTGTGTCTCAGTATTAGGTTCCAAATGCCCTTCCCTTTGTCTGGATCTTGCCCTGTTATTCACCTAGCTAGCTCCTCATTTTTCTTATTTTTGCTTGAGTAGGAAAAAAGTCCTTTTTCTAAAAAGTCTTTCCTGAGCCGCCATTTTCTCATCCTACAAGCCACAAACCAGGTCAGATATACCAGCTAGGTTCTCATGATGCCTAATACTTTGTCTTTACCCACTCTTACAAGTAAATTGTTATAGTTTGTCTTTCCTGCTGGTCTATACGCTTCAAAAAGCTAAGGAACTATATATTTTACTTCTCATTGTAGCCTCACCATACAGCACAGTGCCTAGAACATAAGTATTCACTAAATAGTTATTAAATGAAATGAAAATAAGGCTACAAAGAAAAACAGTCCGAATCATATTGGTCTCAGGAGCTTTAGTAAAGAGTTGAGAAATGTAATAGCAGTGGGGAACCACTGAAAGATTTTTTAAGAGTAAATGACATTCATTCATTCAGTCAGTCCGTCAGTCAATGGTTATTTGAAATTCTACCATGTAAAAGTCACTGGGCTGAGTGATTAAAAGTATCGGATAAATGATACATACTTTCTCTGCCTATGTGGTGCTTATAACATAGCAAGGAATACAGACTTTAAATAATATATAATCAGAAGTAATTATTTATAAGTGCTATGAATATATGATAAGCAAAATCAGTATATGGCCTTTGTGTAAAGCTTCTTTTTTTATATACAATAAAATGTTTCAACATTCATCTATGTTTTAGCATTCATTAGTACTTCATTCCATTTAATAGCTGATTGATAATTCATTGTATGGATATAGCATATTTTGATTATCCATTCATCTATTGATGGAGATTTAGATTGTTTCTATCCATTGACAATTGTGAGTAAAGCCTCTTTGAACATTCCTGTACTAGTTTTAGTTTTTGTTTGAATACTTTTTTTTTTTTCACTCTCTGGTATATCCCTAGTTGTTGCAGAGTTATGTACTAATTCTGTATGTTTTAACTTATTGAGGAACCACCAAACTGTTTTTCACAGTGAGTATACCATTTTACATTCCCAGCAGCAGGGTATGAGAGCTCCAGTTTTTCGAATCACCAACAGTTGTTACTTACTTTTTTTAATTAATGGCCATTCAGTGGATGTGAATTAGTGTCTTATTGTGGTTTTGATTTACATTTCCCTAGTTATTAGTGACATTGAGCATCTTTTCACATGCTTCTTGGCCTTTGTCTATTTGCTTTGGAGAAAAGAGTTCTTTATGTGGTCTAGATACTAGACTCTTATCAGAAAAATGGTTGCAAATATTTTGTCCCACTCTGTGTTTGTTATTTTTTTTTTCATTCTCTTCATAATATCCTTCCTTATGCAAAAGCTTTAAATTTTGATGAAGTCCAATTTAATTTTTTCTTTAGTTGCTTTTGCTTTTGATGCCATTATTTAAGAAACCATTGCCAAGTAGTTAATTTCTTTTGTTTTCCCTTGCCTCAGGAGACATATCTAGAAAGATTTTGCTAAAGCTGATGTCAGAGAAATTATTGGATGTGCACACATTAAAAGAATTAAATTGGACCCTTACTTTATACCACATAATTAACTCTAGGATTTTTATGGTTTTGTATCTCATTTTTAGGCCCTTAATCCATTTTGAGTTTAGTTTTGTGTATAGAGTAAGAGAGTAGTCTAGTTTAATTCTTTTGCATATAACAAAATAAAGAAGCTTCTTAAAGCAAACAATCAACAAAACTGAAAGACAACCTACTGAATCAGAACATATTTGCAAATAATATATCTGAAAAAAGGTTAGTACCCAAAATATATAAAGAAATTTCTACAAATCAACATAAAAAACCCAAATAATCCAATTTTAAAAAATGGACAGAAGACATGAACAGACATATCTCCAAAGAAGATATACAGATGGCCAAAAGACACCTGAAGAGATGCTCAACATCACTTATCATCAGTGTAATGCAAATCAAAACTACAATGAGATATCACTTCACACTTGTCAGAATGCCTAAAATCAAAATCACAAGAAGCAAGTGTTGGTTGGGATGTGGAGAAAAAGGAACGAACTTTCATGCACTATTGTTGGGAAGGCAAACTGCTACATTCACTGGAAGACAGTATGGAGGTTCCTCAAAAAGTTAAAAATAGAACACATCTTATAATCCAGTAATTGCACTACTATATATTTATTCAAAAAAACACTAATTCAAAGGAATAGGTGCACCCTATATTTACTGCAGCATTATTTATAATAACCAAATTGTGGAAGCAGCCCCAGTGTCTATCAACAGATGAATAGATAAAGAAGAGGTGGTATATATTACAATGCAATATTATTCAGCCACCAGAAAGAATGAAATCTTGCCATTTGCAATGACATGGGTAGATTTGGAAAGACTTAGGCTAAATAAATTAAGTCAATTAGAGAAAGATAAATACCATATGATTTCTCTCATGTGAAATTTAAGAAACAACAAATGAACAAATGGAAAATAGACAAATCAAGAAACAAAAACTTAAATATAGAGAACAAATGGGTGGTTATCAGAGGAGAGGTGGATGAAGGGATGAGTGGAATAGCTGATGGAGATTAAAGAGTATACTTCTGATGAGCACTGGGTGATATATAGAATTGTTGAATCATTATATTGTACATGTGA